TTTGCCTCACACCCATCATGAAGATCTTCTGCTCTAGTTACTTAGCCTCAAAATAATCTGGTTCTCTCTCGCATTTTCACGCCACCACCTCTTGTCTGGATTCCCCCAGAGCTCTCAATCTCCTGCTTGTGTCCTTTTCCCTGGGGCTCCTGTCACCACAGCTGGTGACAGAACTACACTCTTTGCCCTGTCTGGAATGATGTGCCTTTTCAAGCTCTCCTTGTCTGCTGGTTGTTCCTTAGACTCAGCCTTCCCACTGCTCTTCATTCAGCTGCCTCCTCAGCCCTCAGGGGTTGGCTCCAGTGCTCTCTGATGGGACTCCTTTGTCTCTAAGTGACTTCCTCCTGGGACTGCCAGCTGGTGGGTGTATTGCTTTTCTTCAGGACACATCACAGTGGATGTTTATACTTCTCACAAGTTTCATTTCACTCTCCAGTCTGCCCCTCCTCCTGTCATACATGGGATACACTGTGGAGCTGTGGTTCTGGTTACAAAGCATTGAAATGCAGGTCTCTGCTCCCTGGAGCTTGGATTCAGAGGAGACAGATAACTAAGATAAAAAGTGAATATACAATATGTCAGGGAGGGAGTGTGTTGTGATAGATAGGATAGATGGTACAAACAGCGTGTGGCTGAAGAGCATGTTAAAGCCTAACAGATGGTATGAAGTTCTCACTAATGAATGGAAGATGAATGGTTTGTCCCGTGTGTGGTTTTGAAGAAATGTAAGCTGTTTGGAGGAAGTTAATTTTGATCCATCTCTCAAAAGTTCCTGGAAGATTAAGTAAAACAGTTAAGTGTGTAAACAAAGCCATGAAGTGGGACAAAATAATCTTATTGCAGATGGGTAAACAACAAAGGCTAAAAATGTATGCAACAAAGTCCATGGAGTGATCAATGATGCTTCATAATAACAATATTCTGGTATCAAGAAAATCATACAGTTAACAATTTGGACAGATTAGGAGAAATGGCAGTAAAAACTAAAATGTTAACATAGCACATGTTCTTACTTCGAAGCTTTCTGTGCATTTCAGGACTAAAGTCAGGATAAGTTTGTTTGTTTGTTTTTGGAGTGACAGCATCACTCCAAATGTTCGATGAGTGGGATGTCTTATGGGCCATAGCATCTTTGAACTAAATGTCCTTGCTGTTGGTGTCCTTGCTAGTCTAGTAACTAGTGCACAGCCTGCTTGTACCTCTTCCGAGGTCATTTGAGTGACCCACTTAGCTGTTAGTGATAGAAGCTGACTCTGGGTGAAGTCTGCCGTTGTGGACCCTGTGCTCTTTCCTCAAATTGCTGTAATTGTTAGGCTCATTGAGACTTCTTGGCCTTGTCAGCAAATGTCATCAGCTATACCCTTCTTCCCATCTTCCTCAGCTCTAGGTTTAGGATTCAAATCAGGAACTGTTGGCGGAAACAGAAAGTATAGCCAGGACTCATGGATTGTTGTGATTGTTTATTTTGTCAAGAAAACATGTAAACATTGTAGACAGAGTTTCTGTCCCACCTGGCCCCACAGCCATTTATCCCCAAATAAATATACAGAGGCATATATTAATTAGAACCTGGCTGATGGCTTAGGCTACTTATTGGCTAGTTTCCCTTTAGTTAGTAACCCATGGGTCTGGAGAGATGACTCAGAAGTTAAAAGCAGTGACTATTCTTCCGGACCCCACATGGTGGCTCACAACCATCTTTAATGAGATCTGGTGCCCTTTTCTGTCATGCAGGCAACAGGTAGAATACTGTATACATAATAAATAAATAAATCTTTTTAAAATGACTAACCCATTATTATTAATCTCTGTATTTCTACATGATCTTATCTTACTGGAGAATGTCCTTGTCTTTCTGGTACTACATGGCATTTCTATCTCTATCGCTGCCTCTCCACATCTTCTCCCCAGAATTCTCATCTCCTAGCCCCGCCTATCCTACCTGCCTGGCTACTGGCTAATCAGTGTTTTATTCATCAGCCAATAAGAGAAACATATATGCAGAATGACATTCCCCATCATCTCTTCTTTTCTGTCTAAATAAAAAGAAAGGTTTTAACTTTAACATAGTAAAATTAGATGTAACAAAATAGTTGTCAAGCAAGAACTATAGTTAACAATACTTAGTCCATTTGCATTTGGCAAAATTTAAAGACAATATTCTGTAATTTATCTTTGTGAGTCTAAAGTTTTACATGGAACTTATCTTTTATCATAACTAAGGAAAATCATAACCATAACTATCCATTTTCAAGGCCATCAAAGACCTCGGAAGGATAACATATAAACTCTAGAATTGATAGAGACATCTTGCTGCCTGGACAGTCACCCAAAGTTTCTCTGTAACATTGGGTATCCATCTTCAGCCTACAGGCCTAGTGTGTCCAGCAGACTTCTCATAGAAACAGGAAATTTGAAACTGTCCACCTGTATTGGCAGTTTGCCAGTCATTCTTCTTTGTGTCCTGCAGAACGTCTTGGCAGACAGACTCATCCATGAAGCAGGGACCATAAAAGACTGTCCCATCTTGTTTTGGCAAGTTCAGCAGTCACTTTCCTGTGGGTCCTTCATGGCCAGTTTATACAGCATACAGTCAAACAGTCCAGGCAAGACCAGTTTCTTGCCCAAATGGCCAGTCTTGCCATGTTGAAAGCAAACGAGTTTCTTTTATGTCCATTTTCCTCTCTGACATAATTGGTGTTGCCAGAAGCAGTTGTGTCTCTTTGTCATTAAAAACCCTAATAAACCATTTTAAATGCCATATTCTGTAGGTCTTTGAAAGATTTTGAAGACTATCTATTCAGTAGAAATACTCTGTATATCTAGAAAACCCAACAAACTTAAGTTTTGACTATTATAGGTTACTATCTATAATCTGTATTTAATTATACATTACATTTTTAAAAGAGCTTTATATACACAATACCTAAAGAATAGAAATATAGCTATAACAAAATTGGCCTTAAATTTGTATCAATAAATCAAAATCCATACCAATATAAAGTATTCATTTGTATATCATATTCCCCCTTTTTATCTTTGGCTTTTATAAAACCAATCAGCATGACACATCTTCACAGTGTATAAAAAGATTATTCTGCAACAGAACCCTCCTGTCAAACATGGGATTCATTACCTGGGAGTTGCTTGGTATTTGGTTTGTCATATAGTGTTAAGGTATTTGATATGCTTTGATAGGAGGAAAATCTTGCTACTTAAAAACAAAACAAAAAAAAAAAAAACAGCTATCACTGCTCTACAAACACTAAGAAGGTTCTTGTGGATAGCTTCAAGTCATTGCTGGGGAAAAAGAAAATAAGTTAGAGACATAATTGGGAACAAAAAACTTGTCAAAAACTAGCATTATAATTCCATCTTTGTCAGCAAAAGAATTAATTCCTCAGCTGTTGTGCATTTTTGTTCTAGGCTTTTTTGAAATTGTTTCACACAGTGGCATTTCCCTACACATGCATCTCCTACTTCACAGCACTTGAATGCCTTAATCTGTAATTGTCCACTGTGTGACTCAGCAGCATCTCTAGTAAAGATAACGACAGGAAGTGGGATCAAAGCCCTTGAGTTTCAAAGTCTGAACTGACAGTGTGTTTGTTATATTAGAGACCTGGCCTTCGGAATAATTTTCAGTAAAACATGAAATACCACACCACACACACACACACACACAGACACAGACACACACGCACGCACGCACACACACACACACACACACACCATGGCATGTCTGCAGTTGGCATCCAAATATTATTGGAAGGGTTTCATTCCTTAGTGGTACATAAACTAAATAACATACTTTACAACTGACAGCCTTGGAGCCAATGGAACACAGAATGTTTGCTTTGCTAAAAATTTAGTATCCTGATTCTTAAATAGTATGTGCTTTTCCCCTTTCACACACTCATCAGCCCACGTAGTGCTCTGCACGCCATTTTTAAGGAGTATTGCAAAGTGGCACTTAGGCTGGACACAGCTGTTCACGCAGAACTACTATCTGCTCAGTAGAAATGGGGGCAGACCATGCTGCTTTGACTTAGCGTACCAAACACAGCTTTTATGATGTGGCTGTGCGTCTGTTGGGAGAATGAACAGGACAGGTAAAGGGTTTAGGGTGTCATTATTTTAAATGATGACTCTGTGGTGGTGGATACATGTCATTAGACTTTAGTAAGTTCAACCAGAATGTAGGACACAAAGAATGAGCCCTCATGTTGACTATAGAGGAGTGATGGCAGTGTGTCAATATAAGTTCATTATTTTTAGCCAATGTCCTATTCCGGGCCAGGATAGTTGGGAAGGTGCTGTGTTTGTGGGGGGGGGGGAGAGGGGACAAGAGAGAACTGTGTCATATTCACTCACTTTTCCCTAAGACTTAAAGCTACTCTAACAATGAAGTCTATTGTAAACAATTTGTAACTGCTATGTGAAGGGAAAAGGTCTAAGGGGAAAGGGCAGGTGGGAAGAGAGAGGATAGCTGGGAGAAGGACAGTATACTGCATGCTTCTCTTATGCGGGTCTAGACTCAACTATATATATGCTCAAGTGACGTAAGAGCAGAATAAATACTGTTTCAGGAGCATCAGAGAAAAGGGGTCAGATGAAGGTGGGCAGGTGAATATGAACAAAGTAGCCCAGGCTGAACTAGAACACAAGAACCTCCAGTATGTTGGGATCACAGCCATGAGTTTTTAAACAGCAATTTTTAAATGGTACTCTTAGAACTATCTTTTGATACTCACAAATACTTGTGAGGTTTGTTACTTTTACCAGTGGACAGGTATCTGCCCGCAAAAAGGCACTCAGATTGAAGCTAATATGGACAAACAATGAAAAGCCAGTTCGCTACAAATGTAGGAGTAGACCTGCCTTACACATTGCCCATGGTTTGCCCAGAAACCATCTGTCAAGTTCCATGATGGAGATGGGATTCTCCAAAGATGCAGCATTGTTTCTCATGAAGGTGTTGGCTCTTCTTTCCCTGGCAGGCATTGAACCGGGGCATCGCTGCCGTCAAGGAAGATGCTGTGGAGATGCTGGCCAGCTACGGACTGGCGTATTCTCTGATGAAGTTCTTCACGGGGCCCATGAGTGACTTCAAAAACGTGGGCCTGGTATTTGTGAACAGCAAGAGAGACAGGACCAAAGCCGTCCTGTGCATGGTGGTGGCCGGTGCCATCGCTGCCGTCTTCCACACCCTGATAGGTAAGGTTCCAGCCCTCACTGAGCATCTCATTGTGGTCGTTTCTTTTTCTCCTCATTTGCTTTAAATATAGTTGCAGGCTATGTGGCTTCTTCAGTAATTATTAAACCTTCCTCATGAAAATTTCAGTGGATAGGAGGGTTGAACTTTGTGTTCTCCTAGATCAGTAAAATTTTAAAACCCTTTCTCTCCGCCCCTGGAAAGCTATAGTTTTATGCCTCTTATTTCGTAAGTCTGAGAGTGAGTTGTTTCACCAACAGGTGAAATATAAAATAGGATTAGTACCTAATGGTATTCAGCAAATAGCATTCCAGGAGGTGGACAAAATAGCAGACGTGACTGCATTATAGCAACTCGAGAACAGAAGCATAGTGGCTGTTATTTTGAACCCATGCTTAGCACTATTGAGAACCAATCAATGACGGGTTGTTTCAATGAGATTAATTTCCTCCAGTGCCCCCAGATGCTGCTTTATTCAAAAGCATGCCTAACTACCCTCGAAGGCTTCCCTGAAACCAGAAAGCTAGAGTCCAATTGCAGCAGCTGTGTACATGCTCCTAGAGATCCAGGGAAAGCATGTTGTATCACAGCTGGCTATCCTCTGCCTTCTTGGTGGTCCTAGAACTTGTGGGGCATGGTTTTGGAATATCTTGGCTTTAAAACAGCTTTGTCTACCTGGTGTAAAACTGGAAGGGCATACCTATTGAAGCCAGTTGCTTAAAGTACTTCAAGTGGTGCTTCATCAGACTGCTGTGTACCTTAAATGGTTGCTGGTTGTATGGGAAGCATGAATGTCACAAAGTAAAGGATCTAACGCAAACCACTTAGGGTCTATTCATTCATAGAAAGCCAGTGTTTGCTAACGCAGTTGTGAATTGGAGAGTAAATAAGGAAAGGGCCTTCGTGGCTTTCCTTTCTAATGTGGCATAGAATTTTGTTCTAAGAGCAGCGCAGAGGAGAGTAGGTTTGCTGGAGGGTGTATTCAGCTGAGTGAGTGAGCGCTGACATCAATCATCTCATTTTTGCTTAAGAGCGCAGGGAGTGGGCAGGCAGAGCCAGGCGCTGTTCCTTCTATCAACGTACACCCTGACGGCGAGTGTTTGGACACAATTTCTGCTGCTACATTTGATTTGAGTCTTTTCCAAAGACTGCATATGTACTGGGAAACTGTCATACCTTTTAAAATAAGGGTCTTGTCTAAAGAGGTAAATTAGTTCCTTTTTGCTGTTAGTCTTTTTTATTTGGACCTTAGGTAAATCCAGCTTCCCCTGTTTTAACTAACTGCAATTGGATGAGACTTTGGGATGACAGCCCATGACTGACTGTCAAGTACCAGGAAGGAGAAAAACTGAGCAGACTGAGTTATTGACAGTCATGACGAAAATGTTAAATCTAAGTTTTATCATCTCATTGTATTGTGCTGTGTTTTTGAGAGAAGTTGTTATGAATCTAAGGCACCTCAGACGTGCTCTATAGCTGAGCCTAACCCTGAACTTCTGACTCCCCTGTCTTCCCCTTCTGAGCTCTGGTTACAGGAGCACACCGCCACACTTAGTCTATGCAATGGGAATGGACCATAGCGCTACAAGCATGGCAGGCACGCGTTTTCCCCACTGGGATGCAGCCCCAGCCAATTGTGGCTCCATCTTAAAAATGGAAATTTTAAAATGACACTATCTTAAATTTAAATCAAACGTACTCTTTATCCACTTATACTGAATAGTTATTTTTATTACACTTGTTCTTTTTTGCTTTGTGTGTGTGTGTGTTTTTTTTTTTTTTTTTTTTTTTTTTTACAGCTAATCCTTCTGTTCCCTCCACCAAACAAATGCTCATACTACTACTTCCTACAGCAGGTGATTTTGAACACCTCCAGTTAGTCTCTCAGGACTTCCCCCTGTGGCTTCACTGACAACCGCAGCTGGTGAATCTCTCCCATTCCCACTGTCTCCCCACCTCCCCAAGCATCATTGCATGGCTTCTTTCCTCCTTTCAGGAGTTTGTAAGATCTTCCCCGTCTTGTCTTCCATATCCTGTACCGCAGCTCTCCCTCCTCCCCTCCCCTGCACCTCTTCCTCTTACTATTTGCTCACCTCAGTTAACACTTCCCTACAGTGCAGTTTTCTGCTCTAGGTCCATTTCTCTGGTAGTGTACACTGAAGCCCATTTTCGCCCCCCAGTGAGGGTGTAGACAGGCAGCTCCTGACTAGGCTTATGGCAAGGGACATTGACACAGTTGTGAAGACCTCACATAGTCACCTCTGCTTGAATAGAGAAGCCATGGTGTGAGCCCTGTGCCTTCCCTCAACTATGTCGGGGCTGAGCCCGAGTGAGCAGCTGTTCTTATCACACCAGCAAGAAAACACATTGAGCTTAATGCCAGAGTAGAGATCTGGGCATAAACCAAACTTCTCTATATTCTCCTTTCAAAACTGATCTGATTGTTATTTTTTCACCATTTTAAAGAACTTAACTCTTTTTCTCAAGTCTGTATGTGGTGTGTGTGTGTGTGTGTGTGTGTGTGTGTGTGTGTCTGTCTGTCTGTCTGTCTGTCTGTCTGTCTGTCTGTCTATCAGTCTGTCGGCATCTACGTCCCCAGTCGTCACTTTTCTTGTCTATTAATGTCTTCTATTTCTATCTAACATTTGATGTACAGTTTTAGCACTGCCATATAATTTGTTTCTTTTTTTCAGTTAGTAGCCAATTTTGTGGTTCCTTTTTGCTTTGCTCTTCTTTCACTCTTTGAGATATTTGTTACTGTGCCCAGCACTAGGCCCTCTGTCCATGTTTTCATGGACCGAGTTCATCTACTTTTCTATGTGACAACAATAAGAATGGATGTGATTATTTTACCTGTGCAAAATGCACCGTTTGTACAGTATCTGTCCTCTTCTTTGAATGGTGGGATTTTAGTCCATAAATTAATTACCCTCCTGGAGACTGCAGAAGAATAGGAGTTAAAATTACCATAGTTTCCCTCAGTGCAAATGGCTCTCAATGCTCAAGAGAGCGTGTATGTACTGAACAGATTGTGCTGTCTTTCCAGAAACTCACATAACTAGAAGTGAAATGTGTACAAAAGACAATGGCCAGCTACACGCCTCTCCCTAAGTACATGCAGCCAGTGGGAAAGAGTGTGTGTGTGCGTGTGTGTGTGCCTGTGTGTGTGTGTGTGTGTGTGTGTGTATGTGCAGTGTCCATTTCTAGAACTCTGGCATTAGCTGATTTCTGCCAGTGAGAATTTTGAGAGAGAGCAGAGCAAACCAAAGGCAAAGCAGAATGGCCTTTCCCACCCCGGACTTGAGAGGGTGCAGGGCCTGGGAGTAAGAAAAGAAAGGACCAGCCCTTGAAAAGGGGATGAAGGGAAGGTGACATAGCCATGTGGTATAGCCCAGAGAACTGAATTTAACAGGCATGAGATGGCTGCCATGTGCTGGAGCCAGAGTCAGATAACCAACCTAGAGCCTGAGCCTAGGAAGAGATCTGCTGGACACAGGGAAACCAAAGACAGACAACTGGGGAGGGCGGGGAAATGAGGAAAAGCAGCACAGAGCTAGGGAGCCGTAGAGGAAGTGTTGTGACAGAGGGCCTAATATATATATGCCTCTTCCACCAGTGGGCACCTTTGTGATGCCTTGAGGATAGCCATATGGAATAAGGCAGATTTACTCTAGTGTTCATGTATGTTAAATATAGCTTTACCCAACAGAGGTCACTATGTTCTTAATGTGCTTCTCTTAAACTGTGTGTCATTCCCTGGTGTTTCCAAAGACTGCAGAAACCCTAACAATGAGCATGAACTTTAACTAAGTGACTGTTAACTTGCCACTTTTCACTGTCCTGGTGCTAATGATCTGCCGACCCCTGAGGGTCATCTTCACTCAGAGAGGGGCTTCAAGTTGAATTGTGTCCATATCTGAAAACTTGACTGCAGACTTAGCACCTTAGGTTCACCAAGCTAATGTCATCATCTCTGTGCACAAGTTAGTGGCTAGGAGACTACTGGTACATTTCTGTGTGCCAGTTAGTAGCTGTGAAACTGATGATGTCATCTGTATGCGCCAGTTAGTGGCTACAAGACTGCATTCACTGGATGCTCTTCACTGTATCTATCATCTGTTACTAATTGTGCTTGTCCCAGTAAAGGAAAGAACCTGCTGTGGGCTCTTCTCATTGCCTGGGCAGTAGCTAACATGCTATGGGTCCTTCTCATTCCTGGCAGTAGCTAACATTGTCTTCTTCTTTCATGCTTGTTTTCTGATTTTCTTGTCTCTTTTCACCCCTGGAGAGTGAGGCAGGCAGTCTCTCGTCCCTGACAATTGTGCACATGGGTGCCAGTTCCCCAGACATAGCTAGGGCAGATTCCACCAACCGCATAGGCTCTTTTCCAAGAAAGCTTGGTGGAGCTCGAGAGGGAAAGACAGTTCCTAGCGACACCCAGGCCCTGTGCCATGGAGCAAATGAGTAGACAGCTGGAACTGTGTTGGATTTGGCAGGCTTTGCATCTAGAAAACTCTATAGCTGTAAACTCCCTGTCAGTTCCACGCATACCCACAGCCTGGCTCTAGTGGCTGAACTGCAGGGGCTTTGAACATATTTGTTGGGTGGCTGCCACTTAGCGTCCCTTTGCTTTAATCACCGCTGTGGCTCCTTCCCTGGACTCACTGTGAGACCCCACTTTTTCAAAACTGCAGAGACAGGGTTTGCCACCACCACTCTTGAATTAAGCCAGGCAGTCACAGTGCAGGTAATATCCCTTTGTTTACTCTTAACACACCTGATATTGTAGGTAGTTTTAGCTTTCTTAATGTCTGTCCCCAGCTTCATGCTCTGAATAAGCCTGGGAAGCCAGCAGGGAGAACAACACACAGGCTCTTATTGTGTATAACTAAAATAATTTCGAGATTGTTCTTTCTGGCTGCCTTATTTTTTCAGATGTCCCACTTACTCACGGAGCACAGACCAGCCCAGGAAGGGAGGATGGGTTTCATATAGAAAAGCACACCAATCAGAGTATCAGGAATAGGCAGTTCGTTCACCATCTGAAAACCCACTGCAGGGACAGGGGTTGTTGCTCAGAAGGTAGAGCATTTGCCAAGCACTCACAGCTCTGGATCTGAGCCCCAGATGTGGTGCTGCACACCTGTCTGCAACCCTGGTGCCTGGGAGGTAGAAGCAGGAGGACCAGAAGATCCATTGCATCCTCATTACAGAGTGAGTTTGGGCCCAGCCTGGACTTCAGAGTGAGGCTTTGACTCAAAATAACAAAAAAGAGAAAACAAAAGCCACCCCAGGACTTAGGGGCTTAAAAGGCAGACGTTGTTTTTGTTCTCCAGATTAAGGCTAGCCAGGGGATTCCTTTGGACTTTATTGAACTCACACCCCTGTGGGCCTTGGAAATCGGGATGTGGCTCAGCTGGTATTGAGGGTGCTCTCTCGGCATGGCTGTGTGGCCTCTGCTGATCTCCTTTCCTTACTGTGAATCCTTCCTGGTCCAGCAGCATTGTCTGGGGCTTCTTTAGATGGCTGTGGCTGGATTCTAGCTGTCAGGGTGAAGGCACAAGCATCCAGAAGTCAACAAACAGAGGCACTATGTCACCACTTTGTTTGGACACTGCTGACGAGAGCTCTTGCTAGCCAGCTGGGAAGATAAAGAGGTGCAATCACTTCTTTTGTGCATGATGGATTTATTGACGTTTTCGGTCTATAGTTATCAAAACCCAGGTTACATCCTGGTTTTCACTCAGGAGTACCAATGCCCATAGTAACTTAGGATGACACCCACTTTGCTGAATTTTATACCAGTGAGGCCTTGGCGCCCATGTTACAATCTCATATTCACTTTGCTTATATTATGTGTGGTCCCAGGGTATTTCTTCTCCAAGGCCTTTGCCATATTTGCACCCCACCCCCACCCCCATGCTTTCCAGACAAACATTGCCCGGTACAGAGTATAGTTGGGTCTATTATACATCCGTGTTCCAGCCCTCATGCAGAAAGCTGTCCCCTTCACAACTTGGTAATTGGCACAGCACCTCATATGAATAAGTCATTCAACACATATTTGTTGGAGCGATTTAAATGTGTTTTATCGGCCATATAAGCACATAGTCTTTGGAAGCAATACATATATTAGAAACCCAGGATGAACTTGCAGGCTCCCACAAAAAGCCTCATAAGTAGGACTGGAGAGACTTTTACCCATCGATACCTTAGGAATTTGAAGTAGAGCAGGTGTTCTACCTGTTCTGATTTTTTTACATCTTGGAAATGAATATATTATATTGTTACTGAAATCGATGGCATCTCAGTTCCCAGGAGATATTCTTTCATAGATTTTCTTTCATTAATATGAGTATTTCAGTTTGCTATAACTTCTGGTAACTAATAGCCCTGCAAATTAGAGAACCACTGATTGCAGAAAGGGATGTTCCCAGTTGGCTGGGGGTCATGAGCCTGATGAATTTAAAGGGCCTTCCTCTCTCTCTGTTCCGTGCTGTTTTGAGCCTCTTACCAGTGCATAGATGTCTGTTCCCTGTTGTTTGTAATCATAAAGCCTTTTTTGTGCGCTCAGAAGCTTTGTTTCATTTGTTTTATAGCCCTCTCATCTTCCCAAGGAAGGCCAGTTTGCAGAGCATTCTTATAAAGGCAGTTGTTAGGAGACGAAGCCTACTAAATAGTTATTAGGGACCTTGCAAAGAGTTTTACACAAATCACCCCAGCCACCAGCTTTGACTGAGCTGGAAATAGCTCAAGGGCTGGCACAGGAGGGTGGAGTTGAGGGACAGGAGAAATGGGGTGGGAACAGGTCCTGGGATTTTATACACATTTCCAGGGAAATGGCCACAGAACGAGTAAGAAAATATGAGAGAGACAAACTGTCTTTGTCCTCCAGGTTTCCCCTTTAGTAGCTAAAAGAGGAAGGGCCTAAAGTGGGAAGAAGCAAAAGTAGCCCTGTACCATGAGCCCCAGATTCTCTGAAGCTGGGTACATGGAGCCAGCCAGGCATGCCCTGGGTGCGGGAAGAACAAGGGTGGTACTTACATTCGGGAGACAGAGCTGGGACGGAGAAAGAATTCAAGTCCCTTGATCTGCATTAACCTTCTTGTTTGCCCCAGATACCTTACAGAAAGTCCAGCGCTTGATGCTAGAGTTGAGATGCATTACTGTGAGAGTCGGGATGCTCCCATCCATTGATTTTCTTATTCCCAGGTAGCAGGTGCAGATCGCAAGGCCTGCTGTCAGCTGCACACATTCACTGCCCCATCCTCCCCCATCCTTCCTTGTCGCCGCACCATCCTCGGAACCTACCTGTAGTCATTTGTAGGGCTACTGTATCAAAATACTACAGGCTGTGTAGCTTAAACGACAGAAATTCACTGTCTTACAGTTCTACGGGCAGCAAGTCCAAGTTCAAAGTTAGACAAGCCTGCTTCCTTCTGAGCTCTTTGAGGGACAGCCACCATTTGCCTGTCCCCTGGTTAAGATCTTCCTGGCAGCCTTTGACATGAAACTGCATTGCTCAGTCCTTACACTCACAAGGATATTTTCCCCCTGTGCATAGCTGTCCTTGTATCCAATCTCTCCCTTTTTACAAGGTCACTAGTCATATTGGGTTGGACACCCACTCCAGTGTGACCCCCATCTTATTATATCTACAGTAGTCCTGTGGCTCCATAAGGTCACATTCTGAGGTCCAGGGGTTAGGACTTTGATGTTTGGACTTCAGGGAGACATGGTTTGCCCATATCACTACATTCTGGCCCTCCGCCCATCCCTATCCCATGGTCTCCAGCGTGTCAGCCTTGCAGTTAAGTCTCATGGGCTGGCATGCTCCATGGACTGTAACCTTTACCAAGGGATTTTCACTCGCCAGCTATTCATAGCAGCCCCATGCGTGCGCTTGCCTGTGGCATCGCTGACCTTCTCATTCCAGTGGTTTCTGCCAGAGTAAGGGGCGCTTGTATGGGTAGGTCAAGACTGTCTCCTTGCAGTACCCGACAAGTGCACATTTGTCGATTACATAAAAACACACACACTAGTAAACAGCAGCAGAGATAAAGAGAAAATGTGCATGGCTCTGCTCCCAGAGTGGACTGTGTGTGAGATGCAGGACTCTTACCATTCAGGCTTTGTGTTTCCTCACTGCAGAGTCAGCCTACAGCTCTCACACTGCCTTCCAGGGTCAACTCGGGCCACCTGTCTGCTTCTCGTCTCTCTCAGGGCTTCTGATCCAAATGACAGATCCAAGCACAGGTCTCCTCCCCACCGAGTGCTGTGACAAGACTCGTCTTCCCCCAGCTCCTCTTTTGCTTCAGGGTGTCCTCTCCCTGGGCTTCTCTTCTTGCTCCTCAGTGACCTTGACAGAACTGCCACTCTCCTCACCCAGCACCTTTGCTTGATTCTGTAGCCCTCACTGGCCCCCTGCCTTGTTTTCTGGACATCAGAGCCATCTTAGCTCCTTCAGCTACTTGGCCAGTGTGACCTCTGCAATTCCCAGTGGTGCATTTCAGATCCCTAAAGGTCATTTTCAAGGCCGCATTGCTACAGAACCCCTGTGAGTCAAGACCAGTCCTGACAAAGGAGCATTATCTCCATTACTGGTTTGTGTAGTGATGTCACTCCCCCTCTCCCAACTCCACCACCCAAGCTCTGACATGGGGGTCTTATTGTTCCCTTTAGCTCCATTATGATTTCAGAGTTGTGTTAGGTGTCACGTTGTCGAGCGCTATCTATCTCCTTGCCTACAAGAACGATGCGCAACAACAGGATTCTTCTGCAGCTATGTTTATTGCGCGGCTCATCGCAGCAAGTTGAGGGAAGACCCCGAAGGAGGAAAAAGGCACTGCTTATATATGCTTTAGGGAGTCATGTCCTAAACTGACAGGTGCAGCCCGCAACGCTCGTAAATGGTCACCTCATGACGTGGATCGCACATGCGCATTGTCAAAAACAACCGCGCCTTGCTGGTTTATGGACAGGAAACCGGCGCCATCTCCAGGAATGGCACCGGTGGCTCTCTACATCACGTGTCTACACATTCACAGTTATGAGATTGTGACATGTGTGGTGGTAGTACCTGCTGGTAGTAGAGCTCTTGTAAAACCTTGAAGAGCATCTATTTATTTTTGTCTTAATCTGTATCTTTGAGGTCAAACTAGCAGTCTGTACTTTTCATCTTTACTGGTGGCATCTGTTAGGATCCTTGAGTCCTATAGCATTTCCTCTTACATGTGTGTTGGATTCCCTCTGTGATTCAGAATCACCCCAGGACAAGTCTTGATGCAAGAGGACACCCAAAACACCCTCTGGAAATCACTTTTGCTACATAGGACAATTTCTAGGATGAGCCATGGTCCTCCCAAGAAGTGGCATTGAGCATGGGCAAGTGTCAAACGCTCACTTTAAAACTTGTGCTGAAAACTCTTGCTAAACTTGGGAAATTTCTAATATTTTAAAATGTAGCTTCACCTGTTTGCACCAAGCATTCCGTTATAATATCAAATAATACCACAAAGGTACAACAGGGAATTGGGTAAATCACCAACACTTAGCAAATGCAGAGGAAAAACAACTCATTGAGGTGAATGAGAAACTATCATTTGGAGATGGCTGTGGTTAGAAGGGAATGCATAGTCTGACCTCCTTAGGGACACATGTTGAAATGCACATGCTAGCCTAACACACCAGTAAAAATACTTGGAAGCCCCACCAAACCCAGTAGAAGAATGAGACGATGCAAGATTCTCTGGATTTTTTTTTTACTTTTCTACAACAAGCAGATATTACATTAAAATTATTTTGTTTTGTATAAAAATTGTGTAAAGGTCCTTTTCTAAATACCGTGTCTGTTTTGGTCCCCTGTAGCCTACAGTGATTTAGGGTACTACATCATCAACAAGTTGCACCATGTGGATGAGTCTGTGGGGAGTAAAACACGCAGGGCCTTCCTGTATCTCGCTGCCTTCCCTTTCATGGATGCTATGGTAAGTACAGGGAACCATGGGCTTGCTCTCCTTCTTTTTAATGGTAAATATGTTTGTCATAGAATTTACTGTTTTAAGTATTTTTATGTGTCTGGTTCAATGGTAGTAGAGCATCCATGTATCTGTACAATGGATTTCTAGAGTGCATTTTAGGTTGCATATTAAAACTGTTTCCATTAAACAGTAATTCCACCTCCCCATGCCCTATCCCAGAGACCATGCCCTACTTTCTGTGTCTGTGAATGGGACTGTGTTAAGATACCGCACAAGGGGACTCAAACTGTGTTCATTCTCCTGTGACTGGCTGATTTTATTACAGATATCATCAATATTCTCTCTGTGTTACAGAATGTGTCACAATTTCATTCCTTTATAAAACAGTATATTTCCTTGTATAGATGAAATACATTTTGCCTATCTACTCACTCATATTACTTCTCTGTTTTGGCTACTGTGAATAAAGTTATGAACATGAATGTACAAATATCATTTTGAGTCCCTATTTCAGTTCTTTGGGGTGCACATCCAGAGTGGGATTGCTACATTGTACAGTACTTGATTATTTTTTTATGTTTTTGAGGAACCATCAAGCTCATTTCCACACAGCTTACCATTTTCACATACCATATACATGGGTTCCAACTGAGCTTTAGCCAGTGTCTCATCAATTTATGTGTGTGTGTGTGTGTGTGTGTGTGTGTGCATGTGCATGCATATGTATATGTGTATATATACATATATACATACATATATGTATATATATTTGCCACAGGTTCTAGCAGACAGCAAGAAAGCACAGCTGGAAATTTTGATTCAGTTATTCTTTCTGATAGGTTCAGTAACAGGAGATGAGGCTAGCTTTCTCATACACTGGCTACTTGTTTAATGCAAACATGTGAGTTTCACAATATTGCTTCTCCTGAACATTCTGATGGGTTGTCATCACTTAGTTACCAGGCTTATGAAGTAAAGAAAGAGCTGTCATGAATCCTATACGGTAGTGAAGGGAAGGCTTTGTTCTTTTCATTTAGTATAGCTATAAAGAGACACTACAAAATTAATATTTAATGCCTAGTAATGAACTCTTCCATTGGCCCCTTTTTAAATTACCGTAGGCAGGAGAATTGGGCCACCTGTGACCACCTGTGCCTGGATTTTCTTTCCTTTTATTAGTTTGGCCAGCTGTGTTGCCTCTGGTAGCTGATGCAGGTGAACCCAAGGATAGCTCAGAGGGCCTATGCAGTTTACATACCCCACACTTTCACACAACGAACCTGGTACATATAGGTTGCTTCCTCAGAGACTAGAATCAAGTCTTGATGCTAAAACAGTTAAGTTTAAGCCAAATGGACTGAACCTATGATGTCACTCTGTGCACTCTGTAAACTGGAAGTGGGGATCTAAACAGAGAGCTGTAATTATACAGTAAATTCTGGGCACTCATGACTTGTCATGGAAGGAAGTCGCAGACTCTTGGATGATCTGCCTTCTGTTCCTGCTAGCTATTTTCTCCACCACAACAGCATTTTTAAAGCTCAGTAAAGGTTGAGTAACCCTCATCCCAAACCCCAAACCCTAATTTTGCAAAAATTTAAAACTTCCTGAATGGTGCCATGTCTGGGAAACCATATACTCAATTTCATGTGTAAGATGCTAATTCAGGTGCAAAAATCTTTTAAATACTATATAAACTTACCTTCAGGCTCTTTGTATAAGAAATACAAATTTTGTGTTCAGTCCTTGGTCCCAACCCATAGTTATTTATCTGTATAGATGATAGATAGATACATAGATAGATAGATAGATAGATAGATAGATAGATAGATAGATAACAAAGCCTGGAAGAATTAAAACTCTTTAACAGTTATAATCCCAAGTATTTTTGATAGTCACGCAGAACAACATTAGAATGTCTCTGTTGAGGATCCTTCATGTTTTATTCATAAATTCTTCTGAAGGCCCGCCCACCCAATAGAGCAGTAAGACACTGCTAATAAAAACCAAAATAATGAGCATTCATGAAAAGCAATCACCTCATGTATGCACACACCTGCAGCACCATCCTTATAACCTGGCAGGGGACATAATTAGAAGTCGTGGGGACTTTTCACCCAGGTGGCATTACGAAAACAAGGCCACCCACAAGGTGCTGTTCACAAATGTCACCTACATCTTTTTAAAAAAACATTTTTAAAAAGACATTTGACACCTTGGGTCCCAGAGCCAGGGAAGGAAGTAGATGTAGCCACTGTTACACAAACTCTTGTCCCAGACGTGATGATTTGTTCATTGTGTTCAGCTCAGGTGTCATGTTATATCTTGTGTTCTAGTTTGCTTTATAATGCTGTGTTAAAGACCATGGCAGCTTGGGGATGAAAGGGTCTAGTTCATCTGGCAACTCCTAATTGCAGTCCGCTGCTGAGGAAGCCAAGGCAGGAATTCAGGAGGCAGGAACACTGCTTACTGAGCCACTTCCTATGGCTTGTTCAGCCAGCTTTCTTGTGCAACCTAGACCTACTAGCATAGAGTGGCTCTGTCCACAGTGGGCTGAACCTTTCTGTATCAACTGTCAATCAAAAAGCTCCCCCTAGACTTGGGTACATACCATTCTGTTAGAGGCATTTTCTCAGTTGAGGTTTCCTCTTCCTTGATAACCCTAGCTTGTGTCAAATTGACAAAAATCTAACTAGTATAGTCTATTGGTCCAAATTGGCCATCAAGGTAGGATGTGAAGTTCTTACACAAGACGCTGTTGTGAGCATCAGCCTCCACAGCTGCTGCCGGCTGCCCGCTGTGCTTTGGCTTGCCTGCCCCTGGTGTAGGACTTCCTCCTAGCCTCCCCCAAGTACACAAAGCCAAGCTTATGTGGTGGAGTCAGCATCTTCAGATCTGTTCATGAGCTGATGACATCAGTCTCTCAGAAACACCTTAGAGCTTTGTGGAAGGAAAAGCCATTCAGGGATCACAACTGCTCCAGATCTCATGTCCTCACTCTTGGTAGCCATTCAGCTCCCGGCCGTGGAGACATGGCTCCCCTCCTCATTAGTGCTGCTGAATAAATAATGTGTGCAGTCACTTGTTCCACTCAAAATCTAGTGTGGAGCTAGCCAGCCACCGGATGAAGTTACTTTTACCAGTGAGAGACTTATCAAGCTGGCTGCTGTGATTTTTGGAGTCCCACAGAATGTGTTTTAAGGACACCTGCTAAGTCGTAACGTAGGAAAACACCACGATCCCAGCTGTGTCTCACTGAAATTTCTGTTCTTTCCGGCAGGCATGGACCCATGCTGGCATTCTCTTAAAACACAAATACAGTTTCCTGGTGGGATGTGCCTCAATCTCAGATGTCATAGCTCAGGTAACTATGGTCTGCATGTCTGTCACAGCTTCTCAGAGTGGCCGTCTGGCGAATGGCCGACTGGATGGACCTGAGATGTTGGAATAGTGTTTAAGTTGTGTGTAGGTGGTGCTTCCCAGTGTTCGGCTCACATCAGACGTGGATTGTGGTGGTGGTTTGATGAGTGAGGGAAGGCGATACCCTGTATCAGGCACAGTCTTGCTAGGACGAGGATTGTACCTAGAATTTGAACCATTATTCTTAAAGTGAAGTGATTACTAAGGGTGCTGGTGAGGTGGCCCAGTGGATACAGTGCCTGCTGTGCAAACATAAGGGCCAGAGGACAGAACCCCAGCACAGGTGACACGTGTAATAGTGTTTATCTATACCCAGGACTGGGGAGCTACACACAGGACAGTGCAGGGACACTGTATGAATCAGCTAACACTGAGCCTGGAGGAAGGGAGGAAGATACACACAGAAACTTCTGGTCTCCATGTGTGCATACACATGTACACACACACAGGCACACGTGCACTGATGACAGTAACACCAATACACTTGGGGCCAGTCATATATGGTCACTTTATCCTTGTCCACATGTGCCCTACAGGGCCCAATTCAATGTATTCTATCGTTTGTTTCCTTAGTGAGCACTGGGGACTCGTGGAATTATTATTTTCCCCTTTAAAGAAAAAACAAAAAACCCCCAAACTTTGTTTCTTATTATAGGTGAGGCACACATGTGGGGGATAATGGGACAATGGAACAGCTTTGTCCAGTCAATTTCCCCTTCCCACCTTAGTCTGGTTCCGGGAATTGAACTCAGGGCACCAGGCTTGAGCAGCAAGCTCTTTATCTCCTGAACCACCTTACCAACCTGGGCTTTCTATTATTGTTGTTTTGATTTCTGTTTGTTTGTTACAAGGTCTCTCTCTCTCCCTCTCTCCCTCCCTCTCTCTTCCTCCCTCCCTCCCTCCCTCTCTCTCTCTCCCTCCCTCTCTCTCTCTCCCTCTCCTTCCTTCCCTCTCTCTCTCCCTCTCTCTCTCCCTCCCTCTCTCTCTCTCCCTCCCTCCCTCTCCCTCCCTCCCTCTCCCTCCCTCTCTCTCCCTCTCTCTCCCTCCTTCCCTCTCTCCCTCTCTCTCCCTCTCTCTCCCTCCCTCCCTCTCTCTCTCTCCCTCCTTCCCTCTCTCCCTCTCTCTCTCCCTCCCTCTCTCTCCCTCTCCCTCCCTCCCTCTCTCTCTCTCTCTCTCTCTCTCTCTCTCTGACCTTGAACACTCTTGCCTCAAATTCCAAAGCTCTTGGATTTTTTTAAAAACATGGTTTCTTGTGTGGGTACCATGAAGTTCTGTGACTCACGTATCATTTCCCCGCTGTCTTAGTGTTACTATTGCTGTGATGAAAAATCATGACCAAAAGCAAATTGGGAAGGAAAAGGGTTTATTTGGCTTAAACTTTCACATTTTAGTCCATCATTAAAGGAAGTCAAGGCAGGAACTCAAACAGGACAAGAACCTGAAGGGAGGAGCTGATGCAGAGGCTATGGAGGGAAGCTGCTCACTGGCTCGGTCCCCATGGCTTGCTCAGGCTGCTTCCTTCCTTCCTTCCTTCCTTCCTTCAATTTAAATTTTAAACAAGGTTGTTTTACATGTCAGTCCCAGTTCCCTCTCCCTCCTCTCTTCCCCTGTCCCCCCAACCCCCATCCCATCCCCTTTCTGCTCCCCAGAGAGGAAGGAGTCTTCAAAGTCTGTCATATCATTTGGGGCAGGACCTAGGCCCGTCCTATGTGTCTAGGCTGAGAAAGTATCCCTCTATGTGGGATGGGCTCCCAAAGTCCATTCGTATACTAGGGATAAATACTACTAGAGGCTCCATAGACTGCCCAATCCTCCTAACTAATACCCACTTTCAGGGGGTCTGGGTGTGTCCTATGCTGGTTTCCTAGGTATCAGACTGGGGTCCATGAACACCCCCTTGTTCAGGTCAGCTGATTCTGTGGGTTTCTCCAGCCCGGTCTTGACCCCTCAGGCTGCTTTCCCATAGAACCCAGGGCAGTGCCACCCATAATGGGTACCACCCATCAATCACTAACTAAGAAAATGTCTTATAGACTTGCATACAGCCTGATCTTATGGAGGCATTTTCTCAATCAAGGTTCCCTTCTCTCAGTTGAGCTTAGCTTATATCGAGTTGCCATAAAACCAGCTGGCACACCCACATTTTAAAATGAACGGGAAGCTGGTTCCACTGTCTGACCACATTGTCTGAGAGGAGAGCTTTTGTTTCCCTTCATTCTCAGGGCTGGCACTAGCCCTGATCCACCTTTCCTCTGTTTTTCTACCCTCCAAGAATAGGATAGGAAAAGTTTCTGGGAAAGAAGATGCAGTCCCTACAATGTATCAAGTCTGAGCAGGACTCAGCCACACCAGTGAGGCTTGAGGATAACATTTTTCTGGAGGAAGGGTTAAATGGTCCCTTCAGCTCACACTTCCAAATTCTCCCTGCCGCCTACAGTCAGCACCTACATTTTTCTTGATTGTATACCCTCATCTATAAACCACTGCTTGGGAATAATCTATAGTTAAGCTGTTAGGTTTACCTCCCTAAAGACCAAGAATTAAATTTGCAAATTAATTGCCTTTATTCCGTGGAAAAGTAATTGAAAATAATTCTTGCTAACGCGTGTACATGTGCCTGAATACCAGCTAGCATCATCTTTGATCTATCTTGTTAATTTTCCCATACAGCTATTAAGAGTTTTGTCCCAGTGTTACTTTCAGCATCCTCTGAGAGCTGGATTAAAGCTGCCTTGTTCACTTGCTGTTTAATTTGAAGTGAAAGAAACATCTCCCCTTTCAAACAGAAGTAGCAATTCAGTGGGCGTTTGCAGATGTGTGTTGTTACAAGGCGAGAAGACAAAAGGGAGCAAAAAAGGGAGAAGAGGGCACTTAACTCTGTCCAAGATAAATGTACAGGCATCTAGGAACAGAAAAAAAAAAGAATAAATAAAAAATCAAAACAAAATAAAACAAAAAAAACATGATTATGGAAAATACTTTGCCATACGCCCACAGCCATTTTCCTCCTTCATTTTTAGCCTGATCCTGGCCCCTGTTCATTGGAATAAAGAGATCTGGTTGGGAGAGGCAAGGGAAGCTGAGTTCAGATGCTTTCTGACCCCGAGGCTGTTCCTGGAAGTTATTTTAAACCTTGTTTGAGTTCCTGTCACAATTTGGTTGGAGAAATAAATGTCATTTTCATTTGTAAATCTTCACTCTAACTCCACCACCTTCCCCAACTTCCACTCCCCACCCCCACCCTCCCTCCCACTCCAACCTGAAAGAGCTTGGGACACCTCATCTGATCATTTGTAAAGAGGTCCTGTGTGAAACACTTTGAACTATCTACCTTGCCATTGTGAATGCAAAAACACAACTGTCAGCTCCAAAGGGATAAGAGATGGTTTATTTTGAACCTAAATGTGAGCAACGATGGCCCAAGAATACCGATTTAGATCACTCCAAATTCCACATCTGGTGTGGTAGTAGTTTGAAGAAATTTTTATATTAAAAGAACAAAGAAAATCATAAATCAAGACACTTTAAAAATATATTGGTGGAAACAGTATGTAGACGGGTTACAGCAAAGCAAAGCCGAGAAAACTCTGCTACAAACTGCACGTGTTTTTGCTGGTGGAAACCAGGGTTTTTGTTAATATATTCCAAAAGGGTTATCCGTTAGTCTCTGGATGTCAGTTCAGACAGAGGTGAACAAGGAATGTCTATTTACAAAGCTAAAATTAGCCCGGGATAATTTGTAACTAGGCTGTGGACCTGCACCATTCCAACCTCTCCAGGGTCACTGCAGTTCTAATCATCCAGTCAGCCTTGCAGAAGGTTCAATGGAAGGCGCAACTTTTTCCCGGAATTTTCACGGTGTGAGTAAATGAGTGAGAAGATACATTAGTTGAGAAAGATGGTTAGTAATACTCCAGATTCTAGCAGCAAGCCCCACTTTAAGAAAGTTGCCGGTGAGTTTATTGGTTTCATACCACAGTACAAGTTGGGATACGTGACCTGTTCTCTACCTCCAGTCTGTGACATCGCCGTTGACTTTCTGAAAATAACTACTTACTGGTTTGGTTTATCCCATCATCATCCAGACTTTCTTTGCTTGTTCAGCATCAAAGTGAAAATTCTCCTGATGCTGTTTGTCCTTCCTGGTACCTCCCAGGGTGTGCCCTCTGCTGAAGTCCACCCACCACGCTTGCCTTTGGAGGCCAGCTGGGAACCCTCTCTGCATGACAGGCTTTTCACCTCCGCCTTTGGCAAGACCCTAGCCTTGACTGACCCGTGTTGTGTTTGCTTCACCTGCCCCCAGCAGCAAATGCTTCTTCGGAGACTGCAAGTCACCTCAGCTGACCCTGGGGAGCCTCTACAGAAGGTCACCCCACCCCCCACCCCACCCCGTCACACTTCACAGAGATGACCTCGGTTCTCTTTCTCAAATCTGAAGCAGCCGTTCTTGTGGCCACCATCCTGCAAGCTTAACTTGCAGCTTCCACATTCCCTCATTTGGAGGGGTGGTCTTTCAGGGCCACCTCCTCTACCTTATTAATTAGTTTTCAGTGACCCTTCTGTCTCCACGGATGAGTGTTTGGCCATTTGCGCATTCTCACAAGAGCAGCAAGCACATTTTTCTGGATCATGTCTTTCTCTGTGTTTCTTCCCAGCCACTCTTCTTAGAAGGGCAGTTTCCACTCCCTGCCTCCTTTTATTTCTCCTTCCTTTTTCAGTGTGTTCCCTACATAGGTCTGGTTTCACCACTGTCCATTCTTCCAGATGGTTCTTACTAGGAACCTTGTGCCCTTAGACCCAGGCATCGGTTCCCATCGTCTCATAAACAGCTCTCTTCACTCCACACTTCTCTTGCCCTAGGAAATACTCCTCCTACTGGCCTCAGGCTGTCCATGAGGGCTCTGACTTATGCCCATGATGATTTGGGTGTGGTTTGCCCACTCTCCCATCCTCCAGTTTCACACCCAGGAGGGTTGATCTCTTTAAGAGGTGGAGCCTAGATCATTGAGGGCTGCCCTGGGGAGGATTGCAGGATTCTAGTCTCTCTGATTTCATGTGTTCAAGTGATTTTTCCCATCACCCACATTCCCACCATTGCCATCAGCTGTGAACTGACACAGCCAAAGGTAGGTAGAGGGTCCCACCAGAGCCTGCACCAAGCTATCTAGGATGCCTAGCCTCCAAATCTGCATTAAATAGACCCTCTTTTAATAACAAGAAAACAAAGTCATTGGTCTCCTAGGTTTATAGCATCTACAACACGACTATGATTCCCCCGTTAAATATCCATAGCCTACCCTACTTAGGGATCCAGAAGGAACTGTTTAACCATCCCCTGTGACTTTCCCATTCAGGTCTTTGAAAGATCTCCAGGACCTGAATTGAAGATCTTCTGTAGCAAGAGTTTTGCTAAGTAAATTGGCATGTTCAGTCATCTGGTTGGAAACCTAGGAGCCACCCTGGGAGCACCTCCCTGCATCATGAAGTGTTACATTCTAGTCCTTAGTATCTCTTCCCTTTGCTGTGCACCTCTCCGCTGCTGTCACTCACTCTGGTCAGAAATCATCCCTTCCTACCCACAGTGCTGAGCAGCCTCCTCACACACCCCCACCTAGATGCCCAAGCTCTCTACTGTTTGCTCCTAATGCTGCCACAGCTACATCTCACCATTGAAATCCTGACTGCCTCAGCCTCTGATTAAAGGGATACTTGAAACTCAATCCTAATGCTGATCAAAGATGGGCGAAAGCCCCACAAACTCTACTGCCAGTCTAGCCCCAGCATGGTCCTCTTCCCACCTTACTCTCTGGCTCATAGCTCCAACTTGGAAGAAATACTCTGCCTCAATGTTCTTCTCCTTCTTCCTGCTCCTCCCACCTGTGCTCAGTCTAAAGGTCTAAGCTCAGGTAATGCCCAGCAGAGATACCTCCCCACAGTGACTCTCGTTTTGTGACAGACAGTGGTGTTCACTGGCCCATTGTTTGATTAGTGTGTCTGTCATCTCCACTAGATTGTCAACTCCTAGAAGTCTTCTGGGACTTTCTATCACCGAGTCCCAGGGCCTGCCTGGGCCATTACATGCTTTGACTGGGAACTGCCTCACCACAGACACAGTAGGTTCCCCTCAAATATAATGGGACATGCTTTTGGTAGCCATAGCAGATCCAAAATTGTGGTTCTGGACTAGGAGGCAAAGTGCACAAGTGTTATTTAGGTGCCATGAAGACACGAGGCCGGTGGCCTATGTCAAGTGCTGGGCTGCACACTTTAGTCAGAATTCATGGGGAGGCTGACAGCATCTCCACCTTGGCCTTGGGAGGTGCCCCAGCCAAGCCTATCTGCCTGTCACCCTTCTGCTGCAATACCCCTCTTTGCTCTGTATCTTCCCTGTCCTTGTCCAGGTCCTCCTGCACAGTCCTGCTCCTCAGGCTTCTGCCTTGCAGAACTGTCTTGACAGCTTAGGATTTAGAGGACATACTGGGCTTCACATTTTCATCTTCATACAACCAAGTTTCAGGCTCTTCGTATCACCACTCTGATTTATAGGGCACATTATGAAAATGGTAAAAATAGGAAGCTTGCTATGGCCATGCCACTCCACACACACACACACACACCTAAAAGGGCATCCAGGGGAGATCTGACTAGTTAACTGTGTCCACAGTCCCCCATTCCCAAGCTTCTGACCCATTCAGTGTGTCCCAGCAAGGCTTCCTCCTAGCAAGGCTCCTCCTGCTGGTCTTCATATCCTTTAGTTCACCGCCTTTGGTCCAATTGGAAGCAACATCGGGACAGGCATGGGCATCCTTACTTCTGTCACTCCCTAGCATGTCCTCCTGGCCTGTGTGAGACTGAGTAGACGAGATAGTGAGAGTGAACACCTCCCTATCTGTGTCTGCTTGAGTAGCCCGTGTTCTCAGCTGATTGCTCATAGCCACACATCCATGTAGCACCTCAGTCCCCTGTGCTCTGAGGACCCAGTGGTGAGGCTGGCCACATTTCTGGCAGCGGCAGCATGAGGAAGTTAATACATCATAAGCTCTGCTTTCGAGACTGAGACAGCCGAGAGGGATTAACACTTCATCATGACTTAAGTCTCTCCTCACCACGGTCTCTTCAACCAGCCACACAGCCCATTTTCAGCCTCCAAATATCACCACTGTGGTTTGGTGTGTGAGTTTTATAGATGGTAAATATGAAGCCGGCTACTTCTAAGTACAAGACATCCGGGTCTCTAACTCTGTAAACAAATGGACATTGTACTCACATTGTAGTTAATATGTTAATACATTTCCAAGCTTAGAATTTTGTTTTTTTCTAACTTAGGTTGTGCCATCATCATTTCCAGTGGTGTTAGTGAGTTTTATCCTGTAAATGTTCCCATCCATGTGCCCCATGCATTACTGGCTGCCATAGCTTTTTCCTCTCGTGTGGAAAAAACCCTCCCAGTAGCCACTAGTGAAGCAGCTAGGAGGCCAAAGTCTCTAGGTATTTCTTAGTTGGTAATCTTAACCAGAAGTACAATGGCCTTAAAAAAGTCTCAGTGGTGGAGCTAACAAAACCATGGTTGTAGTAAGGTAGTGGTGGTGCATGTCTTTATTCCCCGCATTTGGGAGGCAAAGGCCAGCAGATCTCTGTGAGCTCAAGACCAGCCTGGTCTACAAAGCGAGCTCCAGGACAGGCTGGCTCCAAAGCTACAGAAAAACCCTGTCTCTAGAAAAAAAAAAAAAAAAAAAAAAAAAGCCATGGTTGTGATCCTCCAGTGAACCCCAGGAATCCGAATCTGGGTCACACAAGGTCAGAATACAGTCAAAGTCCCTGGTCAGTCCCCTCCATCAGCTCCTGGGTTCCAGAGAGTGCCCTGCCTCTTGGACCAGCTCCCCTCACTCTGCTGACCTGCCCTGTTTTCCTTTTCCCAGGTCGTTTTCGTAGCCATTTTGCTTCACAGTCACCTGGAATGCCGAGAGCCCCTGCTCATCCCCATCCTGTCCCTGTACATGGGAGCGCTTGTGCGCTGTACCACACTGTGCCTGGGCTACTACCGGAACATCCATGACATCATCCCCGACAGGAGCGGCCCAGAGCTGGGGGTGCGTGTGCCTTTTGACTTTTAAAAACATTAACACGTACTAGTTATACAGAGTGACAGGACACACCGTGCAATTTTCATACTTGCAATTGTACTTGCATGTGTCATGTGTTGGTCATAGTTTTCCACCCTGATTCTTCTCCCCCCTCACGCCCCTATCCCTCTCTCCCTAATTCGCAGGACAGTCTTCACTTGCTCAACCATGGTGTGCCCAAGACCTAGAGTATGTGAAAAGAGAACTCAGTGCAGTAAGACCAAAAGTCAAGTGCTAGTGGTTTTCTGATGGGAAGGCAGTCAGAAAATCAACTCTAAAGCTGAAATGATCTTAGAAGTGACCATCCAGTCTCGTCACCAAATGAGGAGACCGTGTGTCAGGTCAAGTCATAGGTAACACAGCATTCATAGCTCCTTGTATTCCATTGTGCTGTGGTAGCCTCTTTCATGGTCCAGAAAGTTTTGGGATTCATGGAACCTTTGTGTTCATGCTTCATTGATTTTTAACATCTTAGCACAGCCCCAGGCTCTGTTTATGTTCTCTGCACTGACCAGTGCCAATCTCTTAATCTGGTACCTCCTAGGGACTGGGCAGAGCTTTAGACACCATAGTGAGATGGGAAATCTAAAATATGGTCTTGAGTTACAAGTTTTAGAACTCACTAGACAGATAAGACTAGAGAAGCAACAATTAGAAAACAAAAGACTAGATGAGTTCAGAACAGCGTCTATACTGCAAAGAACCCAAAGGCCTCCAAGTTTGGTCATGTGGTCTAGGAAGCCTCCATGGAGAAGTTTGGGTTTGTCCTGTACCTGACCTAATATGTCAATTAAGAATCAAGTTTAGAACACCCAACCTTTCACCAGAGGCGGGGCAAGCTGCTCATTACATTATAAACAGTATTGGGTTTGTGTGCACGCTTGCTTCTACTCCTGTACATTAGGTTTCATTTCTCTCCACCTAATTACAAGGCAGACAGGAATAGTCATGTCTACACTCCACCCGCAGTCCCCAGCTTAACCATACACTGCTTTTGTTATGTCACAATAGCAATTGTATTGATCACAAACCTAGGTCAAGCTATCATTGACATCCTACCCACTTATTTCCACCACTTGGCTGCCACAATTACATTACCTCGTTAGGACCAACCTCTCCTCTCTCTCAGTGTTCAGCATCCAGCAAAGGGAAAGAAATCAGAATGGCTGAGATGGTTCCATGATGTAACACTTAACCTCTTAAGAAACAAAACCAAAATTGTGCAACAGAAGCCACTCTTGAAAGATAGCACACACCTTAAGACGTGGCTAGTTCTTCACCGTGCTCTTGTTTCACTTATGGCTCTGCACAGTGCATGGGACTCCTGTGAGGGCTATGAAGGTCTCTGCAGTGAGCTAAATAGTCCTGCAGTAATTAGACACAGGTACACATATTGACTGATTCCAAAGTAGATTATAATAGCTTTCTATCTTTCAGAGTTGCCTCCTACTGACATGGCTTATTGCCAGTCACTGCGATGACATAAGCAGAGTCTCATTTCAAACCGGCTTCTCAGGTCCTTGAGTTGGGCTCCACCTTGTATGGAGGCTGGTTCTATGTATGGAAAACAGTGGCCAGGATCTGTCAAGCTTCAGTGTGATCTTTGATTTCTCAGTAGCTTGCCAGCTGTCTGAATTAATTTCTAATAAGACACTAAATTTTAATTCAACCTGGCATGCCTAAAGAGGCTTTTCTGTATGTTACTGTTAAGCATAATGAAGTTGCTGTTGATTGGCCTAAGAAGGGCCAAGCTTTGATTTTAAACTGTGCTCTGTTCTGCTTCTGGAACCGAACGAGCTTTGAATTCTGTTTTTCCACACAGGGCGATGCAACCATAAGAAAGATGCTGAGCTTCTGGTGGCCTCTGGCCCTGATCCTGGCCACACAGCGAATCAGTCGGCCCATTGTCAACCTCTTTGTGTCTCGGGACCTTGGTGGCAGCTCTGCTGCTACAGAGGTAGGGCACTTTGTGGGCACTCGGTGAGGGGTAGAAATGATTCTAATTTATTTTCACTTCACCTCCAGAGCTCAAGAAATTCTGAAATACTAAACCATATGACATGGGGACACAGGAAGCCATGATTGGGTGACTTGAAATTTTATCGTTTACTGCAAAGGATGGTGGGACACGCCTTGTGGGAGCTCTAGCAGTGCTCAGAGCCTCTGTGGTGGCCAGGTCAGCCCCACCTACTCTGACCCAGTGTCACATACATGCCATGCCATGCCATCTGTGGGCTCTTTTACAATCAGCCCTCCTCCAGATAAGGGTCTCCTGTGTGTTCACTCCAAGCTCTGGAAATGGACCTGGAAACTGGCTGCCATGCCACTGAAAGGGTTGACTCATCCCTTCCTCCTTTCGAGTTGGGGATGAGCAAACAGAGTGACTTCATTTGTTTCCACCTCCAGAGCCTTCTGGAGAATTAATTCTGTTGCTGGCACCCCTGGCCCTTAGGAAGGCTGGTGACTGCTCATTAAGGCCTCCTCCTGTTTATACCTGGCCTTGACTCTGCTCTCAGCAGCTTCCCAGCCCAGAGCACCCTGCCAGTTTCCATGTCCTGGGAAGAGCCCCTGTTGGCCAGGAGAAGATGCCTATTAAACAAAAAGTAGAAAGCTTTCTCTGGCCCCCATTTGTCCCTGGATTTTGGTAACTGAGTCATAGATGTCATCTTGGGTGGCTGTTGTAGTACAGCATCTTTGTCTGTCAAATTCTGATTTTCCAAGTATGGAATCCCCGCCACTTATGTGCTAGAAATCCACCTTCCCATAAACAAAACAAGATCTTTGTATTAGGCATTTCCAAGTTGCCAGCTACAGCATAGAAGCCCAACATGTGGGAAATAGAGCCAATGGTTATATGCTGTTTGCTGATGTCTCCGGCATTCATGTGCATTTTAGTCATTCCCCATCAGCCCTGTGTGACTTATATGACCAGTGCCATTTCTATGGAGAAACAGAGATGGGAGTCCAAAGAGAGAGGGTTCCCATCTCACACAGGAAAAGGGATCTAGGATGCCCACACCACACCAGGTTCCCTCGCATAACCATGGATGCATCATGTCCTTGTGTGCCATGCACAGTTGCTCTGTCCATTAAAACAAATGAAGACTGACTTCCTCTTTCACTAGTGAGTTAAAACACTAACTGCTAGAGTAAGACCGTAGATGCCAAATTTTCATCTCTCCTTCTTTCATCCGTGCAAGAAAAGAAAGCTCTTTTCATGGAAACCTGTCAGTACCCTTTCCTGTATGAAACATATATTGATTTTACTAAATTAAAATTTTGAGTAGGGCCACAGGGACAGAGGAGCCTGACACATAAGAAGGTGGAGAGACAGTATCATGAAATCAATGACAAACAGGTCCACCGTTCCAAAAGATAGCACAGAAGCAGAAACGCAGAGCCAGCTTAGGGCTCTGAGCCTGGTGTTGCTTTAGGACCCATGCTGGGCTTGAGTGAACAGCTCAGTGTGGACCAGAGTCCAGATCACTGGCATCCACCTGTGACCCAGAGCATGGGAAGCAGGTGCAGGATGCTCTAAGCAAGCTGCCTGGCTAGGCTAGCCAGATGATGAGCTCCAGGTTCAAGTCAGAGTCCTCCCTCAATACATAAGGTGGAAAGCGAAGGAGGATGATACCCAGTGTCAACCTGGCCTACAGACACACACACACACACACATACACACACACACATCACAAATGTACTACGTGTGTGAACACACACATGCAAACGAAGCACACACACAAAACTACATAAGATCGTGATTGACTCGGGAGCTTGGTTAGGCCCAATGGAAAGAGCCAAGATTCTGGAGTCCGAGGACACTGGATTGGAATGTCGGCATGTTAAGGTTGGGATCTGGCCTGATCCTCATTTAATCTATGTGAGACACTTCCCTGGTGTCATCTCTACTCTGTTGCAGACCATCTTGTAGCTAGTGACTATGTGGACAGATGGGCCACTAGCCTCGTCACCTGACCTGGCAGATCCTGGAGGACTTCCTGCTGATGCCCACACTAACAGTGTCCGCTCTTGTCTTGCAGGCAGTGGCCATTCTGACAGCCACCTACCCTGTGGGCCACATGCCATATGGCTGGTTGACAGAAATCCGAGCTGTCTATCCTGCCTTCGACAAGGTGAGACCTCTATGTCATGGTGTCAGAAATGTACTTCATTACACTGCCACTTGATGGACAGGGGTCTCCAAGGAGGACATAACCCTCTGATATAACGGAGGAAAGTGAGGTTTGACTTTGGGCAGATACTGTGATGTTTTTCCAAATTGGTATTTCTGTGGTCACATTATTCCTCTTGAGAATTTTCAAGGAGGGGAAGAAAATAGCCCCCCACCCCAAATCAAGTTTACTGGGTTTTGTTCCTGTGACTTACTGTTGTTTAGCCAGTGCCATCCCTTGTGGATCCAACAGTAGATATCCAAGCTGTGGGTGTGTGAGGCTAGAGCTTGAGCTCATAGGCTCATGCCTGTCTTTCTATGGCAAGGATGTAGGTACAGACTTGCCCATGAGGCAAGACTTGTTTTCTGTTTGTTTGGGGGTCTTCTCTTAGGCTGTATTTATTTATGGTTATTATGTATTGTATGAGTTTATGTGTACCAGCTGCATGCAGGTGACCTCAGAGGCCAGAGGACATCAGATCCCCTGGAGTTGGAATTACAGGCAATTATGAGCCGCCTGGTGAGGCTGCTTGGAGCCATCTCTCTGGCTCCATACCCCACCTTTCCAGTTCAGCCAAAAACCTCAGTGGCCAGCAACTCTGCCTTCCTGAAACTGCTGGCCCCTCCAGGAGATATCTAACCCTTTTGGTTTTACCTTTTAATTGGTTGGAACTTAACTGCTTGTCATTTAATAAATGTCTACAGCGTTTGCTCTGAAACAAACAGCTAGCAAGGCATACTATTTATATACAATGGTGTATTACATTCTGAGGACAAGTAGCCTGCAACTCATTATGTGTTTTGCCTTGATGTTTCCTAGCAGTAGTTCAGAAACATTGCTACCTCTATTTTCTGTTAATCAAATGGGAGCCCTGAGAGTGTGGAGAGGAAAGTCCAGGGCCAGAGTCTCCAGCAGATCAAAACGGTCAGCTCTCAACTATCACTACACCTGCTTCCTCATCCTCACCAAGCCCTCACTCCAACTTTCTGTGGGGACAAAAGTCACATGAAGTCATGCAAACAAGGCCAGGCCAGAGGTTTAAACCTTTCCATTTCACTTGCAATACCATCCCTGAACGGTCTCCTTTGTCTGTCTATTAGGAAGGCCAGGCTTGTAGACTACAGGTTCCAAGAGAGGTACCCAACTCCTTCCACCACACATCACACCCTAAGCCCAGGGTATTCCCCATGTCTACACAAAGACCACCATCAGTTCACCACACACACTCACACACACACACACACAAACACACACTCACACAAACACACACTCACACAAACACACACTCACACAAACACACTCATACACATACACACACTCATACACTCACATACTCACACGCATACACACTCACACATATACTCACACTAACTCACACTCATACTCACACACATACACTCACACGCTTACACACTCACACACACACTCACACTCATACAGTCTCACACACACACTCATACACTCACATACACACTCATACACTCACACACATACACACACTCATACACTCACATACACACATACACTCACACACATGCACACTTACACACACACTCACACTCATACAGTCTCACACACACACTCATACACTCACACACACACACTCATACACACACACACACTCATACACTCACACACATACACTCACACACATACACACACTCATACACTCACATACACAGATACACTCACACACATGCACACTTACACACACACTCACACTCATACAGTCTCACACACACTCACACTCATACAGTCTCTCTCTCTCACACACACACACACACACACACACACACACACTTTGTTCTCACCCCTGACAGCCATCTCCCATACTGCTCAGCCTCCTGCTATTCTTCCATCCCCTTCCCTTCTTTTTTCAGGTACACACGCTCATCATAAAGTCTGACTCTCCTCTCAACGGCACCCCACCATATGCTAGCACGAGATGGGCCAATGATCTTACGCAGGACGGTGCTGGTGTAGCCCTTCCTTGGTAGTTCACTGGTTCCCACCACCACTGGTTATAGATATCTGGATGCAGCATGAGCATGAAGAGCTTCTCCTAGGCAATATTTTTGGTTGATTCCTGAGACTGTGCAAGGGCCTTCTGTTCAGTGAGTTAATGCAACCTATAGATAGAATCTCTGCTTTCATTTCAAAGAACATGTGTAGTAGTAAGTCCTAGAAAACCAGCCCAGATGTCAGTCTTTGCTAAATTTCAGTTCTCGCTTTGGTAAGGAAGATTATATAATGCAACTTAAAGACAAAGGCAGGTACTGAAATGGGTGGAGCTCTTGGTTGGGACTGTCCCATCTGAAATTGGTTTGGGCTACCTAATAATAATAATAATAACAACAACAACAATAACAACAATACCACATTCTGTGTCTTCAACAGGAGCACCCACACCTCTTAATCACAGAGGTTAGAAGCTAAGAAAACTTTCCTTTAATGAACCTACCTCTGGGCAGAAACTAGAGTTACCTGGGATTCTTTTTAAACCTCACCCATTGTGTTACGTAGTTTTTCCGGCTGCTGGACCCACAGCAGCATCAGCCCCAATTAACACACCAAGACTCTGTATTTGATATAATGCTGTTAGCCAGTTACTTGTTTCTTATCCGCTAGCTCTGTCTTAAGTATTAACCCATTTCTATTAATCTAAGTATTTCCACGTGGTCTCATCTTACAGGAAAGGAGCTGGCGTTGTACACTCCCCAGTCTCTACATGCTGACTCCTCCCTACTACTTTCTCGAATCCTCCTTGTCTCCTAGTCCCACCTATCTTGCTTTCCTATTGGCCAACAGTGCTTTATTCATTAAGCAGTATGAGAAACATATTTATAGACTGACATCTCCCATCACCATTATTTCCTTGTTTCCACACACTCCACTGAGTAATTCCAAGCCGTGTGTGGGAATGCCATCTGGCCACCAATACCTCAGACCCCTCTGAGTGAGCTTCCAGCATCCCCAATCTTGACTGGTGGTGCCTCTGACCTCTCTGTGGGTTCCAGAAGAAGAGGTGTAAAGCGGTAGTTCTTCTGACTTAAACATAAAGCACGTGTGTGAATTCTCTGTTTTAGCTGTTGTCTGTCAGACAGTTCACCAGGCAAGTAAAATGGTGTCCCTAATATTGGTGTGCCAGTCCTTTTCAACCACCCCTGCAGAGATTTGCATGTGCGTTCTTACCATGCCCTGCAGGAGTTCTCACACAGGTCATCAACATGGGCTAAGTATGCTAGTTATGGTGAGGTTGCCTGATTCACACACCCCACTCCACCCCCGTCTCCATCCCTTCCCCTTGTAAGCCAACCTGGAGGCAGGCATCATGGATAGGTTTTGTTCCTCAGCTCTGGAGCTAAGTTGATGGAGACTGGAGCAGGGTTCTTCTCTGCTTCCCTGGAGTGAGGCCAGATGCTCCCATTGATTAAGGGCATCCTTGGCAGGCAGCCTCAGCAGGCCTCCTCCCTCACTGTACTTTTTGGTGACTTGTGACAGGATGCATGAACTACCTGCTTAGAGAGAATTTGCTCACAACTCAATGTAGCCAATGCCCTTTGATATCCCCTTCTATTTAAGGAAGACTGCAAAGTGCTTCCGGGCCAGGGAGAGGGCAAGACAGGCACTCCTTAAGCCCAGAGTTTGCATAGGGGTCTGAACATGTGTGCACACATTGTCTACCCAAACAGGACCAATATCATCAGAAGTAAGGTCCAGAAATTGTCTATAACTCAAAGATCACAGAGGCTTTCCCCAGCAGAAGGCTGGGAAGGGGATGGGCCTTCAGGGGAAGGATATTCCAACAAAGGGAGGAAAGAGAGATGCACTGATGTGGGAGAAGATGGAGGAACCCTGTTTGGGATGCGGGGTGGGGGGAATAATGGTGGGGAGATGCATCTGGGGTCCAGGGAGAGCCTTCAAGTGGCTCAGGGAAAGTTTTATTGCTTTAGTAGGGAGAAGACCCCAGAGGTCTGTGAACCATGGCATTTAAGAAGATGCCAAAATGGGACACATGAGGCAGGAAGCAGGCTTCAGAGAGAGCCAAGGCCCTTCAGGGTGAGCTGGCAGCCTGCTGCCAAGGGCAGAGGGTTGAATGAGCCCAGAGTTCCCTCTGGTTAACATTTCTGGGCAGGAACCTGACAGCCATGTCAGAGACCTGATGTGCCAGCCGTCTTCCAAGCTGTCACTGGAAATCCATACTTGAGGCATGTCAAATAAAACAAGGTTCTCTTTGTGACCTGGGGGCTCAGCCAAGGATAACCCAGCCCGGTCATCACCACCATTCTCTTTTTCCAGAATAACCCCAGCAATAAGCTGGCAAACACTAGCAACACGGTCACCTCGGCCCACATCAAAAAGTTCACCTTCGTCTGCATGGCCCTGTCATTGACGGTAAGAGGACAGTGGGGATGTGGGGAGACTGCATGCTTGTCTTCTTTCTCCTTGTGAGTGGCTGGCTGTGTTCACAAAGCGGGAAATTGCCACCTTAGAGGAGCGAATCCTGTATTCCATACTGTGATACCTGGTTACCTCCATTAATGACTGTCATTCCAGACCATGGACTCTAGGAATAAAAGTGTTTCCATGGCTTCTCGGGTCCATAGACATGATCAAGAAAGGCAGCTTTCATTTGAATAATATCTTTCCATGTGTGTTTGTGTGTGTGTGAGTGTGAGTGTGTGAGAATATCCCCTTCCTGGACCCCTGTCTATTTTATTTACTTATCTCTCATTTAGCCTAGACCTTGATGATTCAACTAGTGTGGCTAACCAGCTTGCCCTAAGAGATCCTGTACATCCGTCTCCCAAGTGCTGGGATTACAGGCAGCTGTGATACCCTTCTATTTAGTTTGCAGGCATTGTATGTTTCTAGGAATTGAACCTAGGAAATTGTACATGCTAGGTGAACTCCCTGTCTTGGAGCTATACCCCCAGCCCAGTACTCTTTTCTTGCAACATAATTTCTGATTCATCTTTTAAACTTCCAGTCAACTACAAAAATACCACTGCCCTTTCCCAAATTTAACTAGTATTATTTCATTTTCTCTAGTAGAAATTCCTCTCCGAATTGCATTGTATTGATACGGCTGACTTACTTGGCCATATTATGGGGGCCTCTCCCAAGTTCCATGAAGTCTGTATAAGTACAGAAGATACAGCTATGGATAAGAGTGGACAACACTGAGTGGTGGGCGTCTGGCTACACCTTTTTTTTTTTTTTTTTTTTTTCTAAAGGAGAGTCTCACTACATTGCCCTGGAACTCACAAAACAGGCTAGCCTAGAATTCTCTGAAATTTGCCTGCCTCTGCCTCCCAGGAGCTGGGTGCATGTTCTTAGGTAAACAATACACCCCAACTTTACCAAGCTCCCACATGGAAGATAATATTCAGGAAACATGAGGGAAAGGGCTCAGGCTGTGAAAGCTGAAAGACATACTATGCAATTTAAGATTGATAGTTCCAACATTTCCTAAAGGCAGGAAAAAGTCAACCAATTGACATGGTCGCTGTGTCACGTGATTGCTAAGAGACTAAAGAATATGGCTCTTTTCAACTTCCCTGAGTTTTCCTTCCTTGCTGTGGCTATGCTACTCATAAAGTCCTATGGAACTTAATTTCCACTTATGCCTACTATATATAATGATTGCAGTCATCGCTAACAACCAGTACAGAGGGCAAAGGACTGAAGTATCTTCCTGAGAATAGAAAGACAGTTCCTGACACCTTCACCATAGTCCTAAGAACCATTTAGCCTCATGAGTATTATTGACTGTCCTTGAAAAGCAGGCCCTGATATGTTTCACACCACCAGTGGCCACTCAAAACCTACAGCTTAATATCTGGTCCAGCACCTGGACAGTGTGTGACTGGGACAACATGAGACATACGATCACAGAAAGCCTTTGGAACCGCTGAGTCATAATGTCATATCCTCAGCACCTATCACCACCAGCACTACCTCTCTAGCCACCTGTTCCCGTGAGATGGGGTGACACACACTGAACCCAAGTCTCCTAGCTAGGAGGGAATTCCTCATCACATTTGTGGTTGGAGTTGACCAGTGACCCCAGTCGACCTGTTCCCCTGTTGGCATTTATTTTTCCTTTCTTCCTATGGTGTGCCAGTTTTTCCATAATTCCCTAAAATGTTAGCAAAACACTGAACAACTCTGAAACTTCTCAAAAGAGTATTTTAGGAAAAAAACAGAGAAGTTTCTGTTCCAGGAACAGGCTTCAGCTTGTGGAGACTGTTAAGTGACTTGGAGTCAAAAGTTGACTTGAAGCCAGATCCTGGGACAGCCTCATCTGCTCAGAGAGCCCAGAGTTCATGGCTGTCGTTGGATTAGCTGCCAGGATTCCCAGCCTGTCTTCTCTCACGTGGACGTGCCTTCTTGTAGCTGGAGTTAGCGAAGGAGAACATGGCCACACTGAGTATGAAGACTATTTTTCTCACCCTGATTTGTGGGCAATCATTTGAACCTCTGTAATTTTGATCTTCAGCAAGTTTAAAATAATGACAGGATGTGGAAAAATACATGTATCTCCTAGGCAGATGTTGATTTCTTATTTTAATCCCAGACCAAGAAAACATGTGAGTAGAACTGGCTCAGTATGAAGTATGCCTTAGAAATGGATGTGGAGATTTGGAGATGAACAGTTAAAACCCTTTAGTTTTCAGAAAAGGAAACAACTTAGGATAAGCAATCCATCCACATGCCCAGAAATATACCCTGCTAGAGCTCAGCCACCTGGAACTCTGTCCTGTTAACTTACCCAGGTCCCCAGACAGGAGCATGCAACGTGCTTGAAGAAATTATCTCTTCAACATTAAAAGCTACAGTATTTAAATGTGTGGTTCAGTTGTCCATATAATAGTTCAGTCTGTTCATCCAACATCATGGCTAGGGGAATTGTCCCTAAAAGACACATAGAAAATGTAAAATTGGGTTTTTCCAAATTGAACCTTTGACTGTCAGTGTGTGGTACATACCTTTTAATATCACATGACACATTAATTCTTGCATATCTACTGGTGCCCTTAGTCTGACATTCACAAAGCAGGTCTGTGATGGTAGTCTCTAGGGCTGGCCACATAACCTATCCATGATAACCCATGAATTAGCCCATCAGTTATCACTTCTTATCTATGGTACCTACTCTTAATGAAGGCGTGGATTCAGGAGGAATGTTAGCGGAAAAGCAACATTTGCTGTTGTGACTCATTAGTGTCTTGCTGCCCATCCTTCGGATGACAGTTCACAGAGCTGTCTGGTCTGGAAATGGCCTGGCCCAGTGAGATAAAAGAGAAAGGTTTGGAATCTTTAGTGGATTTAAAAGTCCAAATGAATAGATTGTCAGGTAAGTAAGCCCCTAAGAGCAAGCAGGGAGTAGACTGGGGTTAGCAAACTGCAATCTAAGGAAAAGAGGACAAAAGTACACTTGAACTGAGTCAAAGGATGGCTTACCTGTAGGAGCACCTTATTGTATAGCCATACAGGAGAGGCTGTATTGCAAACAGTAAGCCAGAAAGAAGCCAGCCTCAAAATACAGGTGGCCATCCATGCAGTGACCACTTTGCCAGAACCTTCCTGGTTGCTCTTACATTTGTGTCTACTGAGTCCTGTGACAATTAGAATGTCCTAGAAGCCTGTTGTGAGCATGAGAGGATGGTGTGGAGTAGGCAATAAGGAAGACTTCCCTTGCTGGGGAAGGAACTGGATGCCTGAACTGGAAAGCCCTACCACTCATAAAACCCTGAAGCGCATCATAGTTCCTTCCGGACTCAAGATTTGGGACTGAAGTAAAAACTGATGACCAGAGTGGCACATGGCTCCCCAATAGTATTGTCTGTAGGGGATGAGTATCCCCAAAAGGTGGCAGAGCACCTGTTTTCAGAATCCAGGCCAGCTCAATGAAAGCCAAGAAATCATGCTGCTAAATTTATTGGATTTGTTCATTAACTCAAAACTTGTTTGGGGATCCCCTTTCCTTTGAACTCTTTCTGACACTTGTAACAAGTTGTGGTCGCAGCTTTGGCTGCTCACAGTTAGTTGACTGGCTACTGGCTGACTTCACAAATGGCCTTTGAAGAGCGCTGGGACTTCTCGGACTCCCCAATACTTTAGCTTTGGGAAGCTGGTGCTAAGAATGGGGCCCTTCTGTTCCAGGAGAAGTGGAAAAGAATCTATGTAAAACACAGGTTTGGCTGCCTCCGAGGCCTTCTCAAGCCCCTTTGAACACAGTAGGAATGGGCACTGGACCAGATGGGCCTTGCCAAGTAGAGCCAGTGGGGCACTTTTGTACAGTGGCTAGCCTGCCCGGCCATCCCAACACCCCCTGAATGCTAGATCCCAAGAAAGAGAAGCAAAATGCAAGGATCACAGAGAGGAAGTAAATGGTCTGACAGCTGGAGAGGGTTTGACAGTGAGAGGTAAGAGGGGTCAGCTAGTCAGAAAAAGAGATAAGAGGTTGCCACAGAAAGATGGGCAGAATGGCAGAGATACAGGGACACTCAAAACAGGAAAACGAGGATCCCCAAGCCCTGGAGCTCTCACCCACTCTGCAGGGCTCTGGGAGTCTTTCCAGTGATCGTGAACTTCAGGAGAATTTACAGAGACATGCAATTTTAGAAACCTGGAAATTACACATAATGTTCTTGGCTAAGGTTGGTTTTTGGTGAACTGACTGGTATTAAAAATGCAGGCATGAGCCGGATGATGGCTTTAGTCCCAGCACTCGGGAGGCAGAGGCAGATTTATCTCTGTGAGTTCAAGGCCAGCCTGGTCTATAGAGCAAGTTCCAGGACAGCCACAACTACACAGAGAAATCCTGTCTCAGAAAACAAAACCAAAGAATGCAGGTGTGGAGTGCCATTCTCGCTAGGGTTTGAACAGGGCACTTGGATCATTGCCAAGCTCAGAGAACTGCATCCCACTGTCCACATAAGAACAAGCCCTCAGCTTCAACTTCTCAAGGGCAAGGCCAGGTAGAGAGAAAAGGAACCCTCATGGGATGCCATCAAACAGCCTCCAATAGCCTCCAATAGGAGAGTACAAAGGTATCCAAGCTCAGGACTTGTTGATATTTAAAGGATCCAGGCCTTCAAAGAGAAAAAGTTAAAATAGGAGCAGGAAGATGGCTCTGTGAGTAAAGATTTGTCACGTGGGCATGATCTCACCCACGTGAAAGCCATGCGCACCAGCTCATGTGGGAGTGGGGAGGGGAGACAAAGGACCGTCTCTGGGGCTTGCTGGTCAACCAGTCTAGCCAAGTGTGCCAACTCTGGCAGAAAGAGAAAAAAGGTGAGGTAGAGAGCAACTGAGAAATGCCCCCGCCCCGTCAGCCTCTGGTTGTACATCTGCACCCACACTTTTTCTTTCTTTCTTTCTTTCTT